GCTCCTTCCTTCTCGCTGCGACCCGAGCTATCAGATTTCTTCTCAAAAGTCCTTCCTCAGCACCTGGCAGGTTTCTCAGGGAGCCCAGCAGCGCACTAAAGAGGTGGAAGTCTACTATGGAATACTGCCCGCAGCTACAACCCCATCGCATATGCAGATTTCTGTTTTTTCCAGTAAAATAGTGAATAAGAGAGTGCTAATAATTGACCCAAGTTACCCTTCTTCAGCTGAGAGAGACAACTCCTCCTCCTTTATACATAGAATTTATGCCTATAATGTTACACCTAGAATTTATGACTGCAATTTTAGGATCAATTTTTATTGTTACGTAGTTCTTGTTCTCGGTAAGACTGTGCCTGTGTTGCTGAAAGAACAACCTGAAACACTGTATTAGGTTGCTGTTTAAAAAGAAAAAAAAAAATCCACCTTGCAGAAATATCCCCTTCACAGAATTTTAAGTCTTTGTCCTCTGAGCAGAGCTTTAGGAGTCGTGTGCTGAGCAGACAAGCTAGCAGGACACAGCGCTGTGCTGGAGAACTCATTTATCTTGCTTTAGAAATGACACAGGAACTAAATCTGCCCTCACTTTACATCGCTGACTTTTACGGGATTACCCTACTGTAACACAAGGGCAGACGCAACCTAAAAAATGTAGCTATCTCAAGCCATAACTAATCAAACAGCAGTTACACACACGCTAAATAAGCTGCTACAGAAAGCGACAGATTCTGAGAAATTTTCAGTCCAAGCTGGACCTTCCGTAGCTTGGTTCTCACTAAGGCTTAAATTTCCAGAAGACGTGAAGTAAGTGGAAATAAAACCACTGAAATAGAGGAAAAAATCCACTGAGAGCAAACTGCTAAGAAACAGGACAGCATCTCCCAAATACCGAGTGTTTAAGTGTCCGAACATGAAAGTTAACTCACATACCATAAGGAAAAATACCTTCTCTACACGGCTAACGGTGCCAGCGGCTCGAAGCACCCAGTGCTGCACCCAGGCAAGGCTGCCGGCGCTGGCCGAGGGGACGGGGCAGGCAGCAAGGCAAGCTGACCCCCGGCTGGAAATGCAGGAGCACACCCGGGCTTCCAACTAGGGCACCCCCAGAGCTGCCGGGAACTGGGGGCACACGGGGCCCTTCGGGGCGGGCCGCGCACCAGAAATACTTCAAGGACACTCTGGGGCCCCAAGGGCGCTATTACAGTTTGTATAAGGTATCTTTAAGCAAGGCGCTTAAAGAAGTAAATAGGTCAACGCCCTCAGAGGTTGAAGAGTGATCACAAAACAAAAAAAAGTTGCTAATTGACCTAAGCGACCCGGGCACAGCCTAGGAGAGACTCCGTCCCCGGTGAGAGGCGTGAAGTTCCGCACAGTCCCTGTACAGTTACACTTCGGCAGACTGCCCCGTCCACCCTTCTGGTCAGCCCTCAGAGCCGTCTGGTTCATTATCCCGACCCAGGTCGAAGGGGAATCCTCAGAAAACGCGCATACTCAGAGTCTGGAAGCATTGCCAAAATAACGCTGCCTTGTAAAGCAGATAAAGATTACAACTCCAGCTAATGCTTTTGCTTGCCTGTAAGCAGAACAGTAAAGCTAATAAAAACGGTAAAACCCCTCCTTGGGTTAAAAGAGAACAAAACTACCCCGAACTTAGGCAAGAGAACGAAGATAATTCTGTAATTCTCCATCTGAGCGGTAACCTCCTGGCACCGCGCTGCCTCTTTAAGGAGCGCACAGCTGCTCAGTACACAAAAAAAAATAAAAAAATCGCTTGATAAGGACACTGCCTTTTCCTTACTTCATCATTACAGCCCTCACTCCTCCCTTCGCCTTCGGCGTCGTGACCCCCGAGTTGCCTCGTCAGTTCCCAGGCTTTGCGGACGGGGATGCGCCGCCTACGAGCCTCCGCAAAGCGCACAGGGCGTTTGTGCTTCTGTGGTAACAACCAGGTGACTCCGTACCTCTGCCGTGACCCCCCACACCTCGCAAACCAACCGAAGCTAAACGAAGTTTAGCAGCTGGGACGACTATGTAATTTAAACAGGTTGTTACACGTGGATAAGCCGGAGATTGCTGAAGTCTGAAGGACTTCTCCTGCACGCCGGGTGCAACCCTCCCGCTACCAAGCGTACGATGCTCTCCAGCAAGCTCCGTGCCGCCCATAAGCGGAGCCGGCACCTCAACCGGCTGGGAGAGGCGAGAGGCGCGGCGAGAGCCCCCCGCGCCGCGGCGGCCACGGAGCCGCTGCGGCTGTTC